CACACACACACACACACACACACACACACACACACACACACACACACACACACACACACACAGAAAACTACATTATCACTCGTCTAGTTAATAATGAATTTATCAAAACAAAGATCAATCAAAGCAGGAGATAAAAAAAATAAAGAAGAAAATTCAAACTAAAAATGAACTCACAGATCATGACAGAACTACAAGGAGAAAAAAAGAAGTGTCCGTACTGGACTTACTGGTTCCTGGTCTGGCATCTGACACATCTACCAGAGGACCAGTGGCCTGGGACAGGGACTGGTAGTGGACAGTGTGGGTGACTGTGGACGACTTCTGTTTCTGCGTCTCCCCGAAGTCATTGTCGGTCAGTAACACAGTGGATCTGTCATCTGTGGGGTGAACGTCCCGGCACAGGTTATTAACATTTCGGGGTCTTCTACACACAGTTATAGCACGGTGCCGAGGGGGTGGGGCTTACCGACGGTCTCCATGGTGTCCCGCTCCTCGATGAGCAGCTGGGCTCTGGGGATGTCAATGTGCATGCGCAGCGTTTGTTGTTGTTTGTTGATTGGTTCAGCTGGACGTGTGTTTTTACTAAGGAACATAAAACCAAAGAAGAATTTATTACTTCTTGTCATGTCACATTACTTAACTAATGTTTACTTTGTAAAGACTGGAAACATTTACCTCATCAGCATCTCAGCCAAACTTTTAGCATCTGGAAAATCAAACATACATTTTTTTAGGTGAGAAAATAAAGTCTGAGCTGTGGTGATGTCAGCTGTTTGTAACAATCCTCTTAAAGAAACATTTGAGTCAAAAGTCCAGAGATGTTCCAGTCTGTAGTTAGAAACCTTCAGCTGGAACATCGGTCATTAGAAAGTTTAAACAAACTTCCAAACTTGGCKAATGCTAGCCAAACAGTGACATTTTTAAATCCAAAAATCAGCATTATAAAAACGTCTCTTCCTCAGAAGTGCATTAAAGTTTCAGCAGCCATCTTCTTACCATCTGAACATACATTAACACTTCGTTCAGCTGAGAAAAGTTAGGAGCGTGGAGGAGCAGCGGCTCTACTCTGAGTCCCTCCCAGATGACTGAGCTTCTCACTCTATCTCTAAGGGAGAGCCAAGACACCCAGCGAAGGAAACTCATTTCAGCCGCTTGTATCTGCGATCTCATACTTTTAGTCACTACCCAAAGTTTGTGACCATAGATGAGGGTAGGAACATAGACCGACAGGTAAACCGAGAGTTTTGCCTTCTGGGTCAGCTCCCGCTTCACCACGACAGACCAGTACAGCGCTCACATCACTGCAGAAGCAGCACCAATCCGCCTGTCGATCTCCCGCTCCATTCTTCCCTCATTCGTGAACAAGACCCTGAGATACTTAAACTCCTCCACTTGGGGCAGGACCTCCTTTCCAACCCGGAGACGGCACGCTACCGGTTTCCGGCTCAAGACCATGGTCTCGGATTTGGAGGAACTGATCCTCATCCCGGCCGCTTCACACTCGGCTGCGAACCGCTCCAGTGAGAGCTGGAGATCACGATCTGATGAAACCAACAGGACCACATCATCTGCAAAAAGCAGAGATGTGATCCTAAGGTCACGAAAAATGATCACCTCAACACCTTGGCTGCACCTAGAAATTCTGTCCATACAATTTATGAACAGAATCGGTGAAAAAGGGAAACCTTGGCGGAGTCCAACCCTCACCGGAAACGAGTCTGACTTACTACCGGCAATGCGGACCAGACTCTGGCACCGGTCATACAGGGAGCTAACAGCCCGTATCAATGGGCCTGGTACCCCATACTCCCGGAGTACCCCCCACAGGAGTCCCCGAGGGACATGATTGAATGCCTTCTCCAAGTCCACAAAACACATATAGACTGGTTGGGCGAACTCCCACGCACCCTCCAGAACCCTGCTGAGGGTGTAGAGCTGGTCCGCTGTTCCACGACCAGGACAAAAACCACACTGTTCTTCCTGAATCCGAGATTCGACTATCCGACGAACCCTCATCTCCAGAATCCCCGAAAAGACCTTACCAGAGAGGCACAGAAGTGTGATCCCCCTATAGTTTGAACACACTCTGTGGTCCCCCTTTTTAAATAGGGGGACCACCACCCTGGTCTGCCAATCCAGGGGAACTGCCCCCGATGTCTACGCAATATTGTAGAGTCGCGTCAACCAATGCAACCCCACAACATCCAGAGCCTTAATAAACTCCGGGCGAATCTCATCCACCCCCGGCGCCCTGCCACCGAGGAGTTTTTTAACSACCTTGGTGACCTCGGCACTAGAGATTGGAGAGTCCGACCCAGGGTCCTCAGGCTCTGCTTCCTAATGTGAAGACGTGTTGGTAGGATTGAGGAGGTCCTCAAAGTATTCCGCCCACCGACCCACAACGTCCCGAGTTGAGGTCAGCAGCGCATGATTCCCACCATACATGGTGTTGGTGGCGAACCACTTTCCCCCCCGAGACGCCGGATTGTGGACCAGAATCGCTCTGAAGCCATACGGAAGCCTTTTTCCATGGCTTCTCTGAACTCCTCTCCCATGCTTGAGTTTTTGCCTCAGCTATCACCCGAGCCGCAATCTGCTTGGACTGCCGATACCCATTGGCTGCTTCCAGAGTCCCACAGGCCAAAAAGACCCAATAGGACTCTTTCTTCAGCCTGACAGCATCCCTCACCCCCGGTGTCCACCAGCGGGTTCGAGGGTTGCCACCACGACAGACACAGACAACCTTACGGCCACAGCTCAGGTAAGCCGCCTCAACAATGGAGGCATGGAACATGGCCCACTCAGACTCAATGTCCCCCACCTCCCCCGGAACATGCTCGGAGTTCTCCCGGAGGTGTGAGTTGAAGCTCCGTCTGACGGGAGACTCTGACAGACGTTCCCAGCAGACCCTCACTACACGTTTGGGCCTGCCAGGTCTGACCGGCATCCTCCCCCACCAACGGAGCCAACTCAYCACCAGGTAGTGGTCAGTTGACAGCTCCGCACCTCTCTTCACCCGAGTGTCCAAAAGATACGGCCGCAGATCAGATGAAACTACAACATAGTCAATCATCGAACTGCAGCCTAGCAGATGTTTTGGGGTAAAACTGACATGTTTTAGATATTTGTGGGAATCAAAGCTGCTGCCTGGAGCAACTTTACATAAAGTGTTGACATATTGTGGATTCTTACCAACCCTTCCATTTACCTCCAGCTGGACTGCTGGGTTTGTTTGATTTCTTTATCTGAAGAAGAAGAGCTCAGTAAAGAATGTTGTGTGCAAAAATAGAAAAGTACAAAAGAGGGAATTAAACCTGGTTGAAAGGTCAGATCCTAGACTGACTACAAGTGACCCTAACACAACACAAACCATTTTAATCTCACCTCTCAGTCTTTTGAGCCTCTGTTCTCTCCTCCGCCTCCTCAGCACCAGCAGTCCGATGAAGATAACAACGATTCCCACCAACACACAGGAAATGGTCACCATCATCTTCATTCCTTCACCGCCGCTGGAGTTGTTCTCGCTCACGTTGGGTGCTTTCACCAAAGGAGCGATAGTACCTGTGCAGGTAGGGGACAGTGGTAGGACAATGATTCAGACATTTATTTGACTTGTGCTTCAAACACGAGATAAAAGTTTCAGGGAAATGTCTTAAAAAACAGCACAAATAAAGTTAATTTAGTAAATTAATTTATTTAATTGCCCCACTTGAGCCTCAACATCTGTTTCTAAACAAGAAATGGTTCTTCTACACCTCATCATATTTCCCTGAGGATGATACAGTTTGCATGTTATTTCTGACAGGTATTTTAGTTGGTGCTTGCTGTAAAGAAAAGAGAAATAAACGACTCACTGCCATCATAGCTTAGAGTTGCAAACTTGAGCCTCTTCTCAGCGTAGCCAGCGCTGTTGTAGACTTTCATCTGCAGCTCGTACCAGGTGGCCTCCTGCAGGTCGTAGAGGACGCAGCTTTTGGTGAGGGAGGTGCGCTGTGCTGTGGTCCAGGTGGGTGAGTCGACTGGACGATACTCCAAGGTGAAGGAGGTGATGGGACAGCCACCGTTGTTCCAACCGTTCAGGTTGAGTTTGACCCGAGTGGCGTTGATGCTGGTGAAGAGTTCTTGTTCTTTAGAGTACTGAGGTTCTGTTGAGAGACAGCAGGGATATATTCACATCATGCATTTGATATTTAGAACTAATTATCACTGAATTCTCTTTGGGCTAGGCCTGACCTGGGGGTGACAATCATGTCCACATTTGTGAAGAAGACAAAAACTTTCATTCAGGTACAACGATATAATAGAAAAATCAAAGAAAATAATAAAGGTATACCATTAAAAGCACTGCAAATCACCCACTGCCTTTCATGGCAGAATTTTACAGTGAAATTAATTTATTCTGAAAATTGATATAGTTAGTCATTTTAAGAAAACCTTTAGGAACAGCATAGCACAGTGTCAATAGGTTACGTTCAGGCCTCCCTTGCAAAACAGATCTGTGTTCTCAAAGGC